TACATTCTTTTCTCTAGCATGACGGGAGGCCCAATTTTTTATAGTTTTCCCTTAAATGGGGGACATACTGGGAGACTGTCAAAATTTTGGATGAACATATGACTATACTCGGACTTGATTTGAACTCAAATGAACAGAGTACTTGTGAGCTCAGACTTGAACTAAATTGACTTAAATGAACTCATGCTTAAATGAATTTAAATCCAAGCAAGTGACAAAAAATAGTAGTAAGTTCTGCACTTGAACTTTATTCCAAGCAAATATAAAGAACCTTCACTCAAATTGAACATCAGAAGTTAAGCTTGAATGAACATGAACTAACAGACTTGTGAACTTGAAGTTGAACATAAATCAAATGATTAATCAAGACCTAAACCAAATAAAATAAGTTTGAACTTGAACTGGATTTTAATATCAAGTGAACATAATTTGAACTTAAGTGAAGACTTGAGTTGGACCACAGAGGACTTGAACAAGAACCTGAACTTTCAAGAATAATAGGGGACTCAAGCGACTTGAGTTTGAATGGAATACAAAGAGCTAAACTCATAATGACATATAAGACTTAAGCAAAATTGAACTGGAAGACAGTGAATCAATACAACGAACTCAAATGAATATGGTTAAGATGCAAAAAATTTAAATACCTGTGAGCTCTTGTAGGAAGGATATTACAGCATCCTCACAACCAACATCAAAGTACATACAGGCACATTACAAGACCTCAGTCCATACAAACAAAGAGCAATACTAAATGTACAGCATCTGAATAACCACCAATCATCAATACTCGAATACATAAGCATGTAATGAATGATGTTGGTTTATACAATGACGGATGTAGTGGACTCTTATAACATTCTCTATGAGATCAGATGCACCATACTTACAAAGATAATAAGATAGTTGCAAAATGCATGTGTGTCTCCTATATGCATTATTAAAAATCTCAATACAAATAATAATTCACCTATCAATTGAAGAAGGCGATATTGGTGATCGATAATTGAGGACCCATCACCGCAAATAAGTTCTGAATAGAAAAGGTGGACATGATGCAGACATGATAGACTCCTATGATAATCCCTACAAGATTGAGATGGAAACATTATTAATCAGTAGTGGAAGACCCGCCCTTCCAAATAAGTATATCAAATCACCTGAGATTGATGAAAGGAATATATGATGTAGAAATAATGGCTCTTTTATGATCATTTCCAGGAGGACATAGTGAATACAATGGGTCTCTATAAATAAACATGAGCCACTTGTGGATAAAAAAGTGGATACATAGTAAGTACAATAAATCTCATATGGACACAAGTACATATGATCACTGCAAGTAAAGATATATGGCTGCGATAAATCTGAAGTCCTATGAGCCTTCCTAGCAAGTATTTCATGTATGCAAAGTGCCATCTACAAGAAAGTATATAAAATATCTAATTACTTTCAAGATCCATGGGAAAAAGCAAGAGATTCGTTAGTGCACAATGACCCACCTGCAGAAAGTAACAATTAGTACACAACAGTCTACATGTACAAAGCAGCAAAATACTCAATCCAAAAGTTGTTACAACACGCCATTGGATTTGTAATATTTATGCAGAAAAACATAAGGCATTTAAAAATATTTTAAAGTACCCTTGCACATGCACAGTAATTTATATACACATAGGCACATAAAAGGGGGTATACAATCAAACACTCGCATGGGCCCCGACGAGCATGTTATAGGAACACACATGATATTTAGGGATGCTGGTAGGTCAATAAGTGAATTCAAGTTTAAACCAAATCCTCTTAAGTAGGTAAATAAGAGTCGATAGGGTTCAAATCATCGGACAAGTATACGGTTATGGGGATCGATATATTTATTTTAATATATTTATATTAGGCCTTCAAGGCCTATAATAATGAAAATTCATTCATAAAAGCATAAACCTATGAAACTCGATCCTCCTGAGCAATTAGGAGTAAACAAGGCTCAATAAATAATTATAAAATGCCCCTAAACACATGTATGGGCCCCAATAATCGTGTTGTAGGAACACACATGACGTTTAGAGATGCTGCGCGGGTCAATAAATTTAAACCTGGTTCTCCTAAGTAGGTAAATAGGAGTCGACAAGGTTCATCAAATAATTATAAAATACCCCCAAACATCTGCATGGGCCTTGGCGAGCATGTTGTAGGAACACACATGACGTCTACAGATGTTGCACGTGTCAATAAATGAATTCAAAGTCGAACCCGATCATTTTATGTGGATCAATAGGAGTCGATAAGGTTCAAACCATTAAATAAATATACGGTTGTGATGACCGGTATATTTTTCTTAATACATTCATATTAGGCCTTCAAGGCCTATAACAATGAGAATTCACTAATAAAGACACAAAGACTAAAAAACCTGATCCCCTATCGGCAAGTTGCTAAGGTCGACAAGGTTCAAGCTATAAATAGAAATGACCTCAAATACCCCAATAATGGCCATGTTGAATGCAAATCTCAACTGGAGAAGTTTACAAACACTTTCAAATGACACTCAAATGCCCAAAAATAAAAAATCTTGATGATCATCCAAAATCCAAAAATCTTAAAAATCCCAAAAATATTTAAAATTTGAAATCCAATCATTATTCAACACTTAAAGCAAAATCCATCCACCCTCTGCAACAATTTTTCAAGGTGGAAAAATTTAAATATCACTTTAGCTCATATGGAGTTAATGCTTAGTCGAAAATATCACTAAAATATATTCTCAAATAATATCCTGTAAATAAGGACATGGTATATGTCCTCTGACCGACAGTTTTTCCACCAAATGGCACCGTAAGGATAAACAGTTATGACCAAAGCCCTTTGAACCAAATGGTTTTGTTGTCAAATGGCACCACAAAATATCGATTATGGCAAGAGCCAATATGATCTTTAATGGTATTAAATACTTGAGATATGAATCAATAAGATATGATTGATAGGGCATAAAGCCCTCTATTCGCTAAGGTTGATTCAAATTTATCCCCTTAGACAAATATTTACCCCAGGTCTATAAGGTACCCTTGGACGAAGCAACCAATGGCTGCAGACAAGGATCCTTCTAGCAGGTTGGGTCGACTACCTCCTCTAACTAAGTATACCAGGTACTACGATGGCTTGAGATGACGGAACCATGGGATCTTAATCGATTCCATCATTCATTCCCCCCTAATCTTCTTTAAGTACAAGATGGCAAAACTTCTATTTTAAATATCAAACATCCAAACTGTCCAATTCCTAAGCTTATGCTGCCACTATATATCAGATACTATGTATCTATGGATTTGACATATTCATCGATGACTAACCTTTATCAAAAGTTCTCTCTCGTTATCAGGAGGGATATTTAATTATAGGAGCTTGCGCCTATAGGAAATTAGAATTTAGATCATAAAGTCCTCACAAAATGAGGGCAAAATCTCTGCATAGTGTCTTATCTACAACCTCATCTACCTTCCAAAATTTACCCCATAATTAAATCCATTAAAACTCCCCTGAAGAAGAAAAGCAGAAGTCGAGCGGAGGCTAGGACAGAATTTTTAGAGCCCATAGAGGCATCCATTTTGAAATTTTGCAAATGGATCTAATACCATAAAGAAATAATGAGAGAGCTTAAATATAGCAGATGAACTAAAGAGCAGGAGAAGGGTAGTATAGATAAATGCATTTGTGAATAGTTAATTTCATTAATGCTCAATATGTGCAATGACAGCTGTATATAAGGAGTAAAGGTAAGTTGTTAAATACAGAAAGGCCATCGGTAGCAATGGTTATGGTTTGATCATGACTTCAAAAGAATACAAACATTAACCATAGTTGAGTTTCTAAAGTCCAATTTCAACATAAGGTTGACTTCCTTGAAAGTATATAAACATAATGATAAAGTGAGATATGTTCAAAACTTGCCTTTAATTTAATTAAAAAAATTCAAAGCAATTTTTGTATCAATAAATAAATCTTAACATGTTAAAGGTTGCTTATTTATATGCATTTTAAGTTTATGGTAAAAATAATGTTGGGATTTTAAAAAATCAATTATTTGGTTGAAGTTAAAAAGTGTATATCATTTCTCGTAAAATTTATAAATATCTCTTTTACTTTATTTTTGAAGAATTTGATGTCTTTAGGAAAGAATTGATCCTAACTTAACCTAGCTCAACCTTCATATTTAATCTACTAGAGCCAATAAATCATCTAACATATAATAATAAAATAAAAAATACATAAAAATCATATGATACATTTCTTTCCAAAATATTTATTTATAATAGTTTAAAAGAAATTTAGGATTTCAAAATATGTTGAATAAACTAGAATTTAAAAGAATACCATTTACTGTTATGCTCTTATGGAGATCAACCAAATCAACTCTCAATCTACTCAACTGAACCATTCCATTTCATAAAAAACATGAACATCAATTGGGATGAACAAATCAGTTTCTTAGTAGGCCTCTTATTTTCTATTTAAATTATTCAATACTTTAAATAATGGTATATGAAAATAATTAAAAAAATTCATTTATAAGTTAAACTACAAATTCATGAAATTTCAATACTTTTATATTATTCTTGATGAAAATATGAATTAAATTAATCATGTGATGAATTTGACTTGTAGTAGTTATAAGTAAACTTGTTTTTTTGATGAAACTGCCAATAGCATTAAAGCAAGAAAGAAATCCTAAAACAAAAACTAAGTGATAGAAATCCTATCACTTTCCTCCTTTAACAAAGAATAAAAAATAGGAGGAACCATATTAGTTTCTAAAACATCCCAAAAGAAATCTCCTGTCAAAGCATAGTTAACACACCAATGAGCTAACTTGTTACTACTCCTATTAACAAAATGAAACATAATTACCTTAAATCCATTCAGAAAGTCCAAGTCCTCTCTTGTTGAATGATCATCCACTCGATTTTCATAACAAACCAAGTTCTATAAATGCCTTATGACATTCAAATTGTCTCCTTCATAATCAAACCTTTTGCATCCAACATCCAATCCTTGATAACTCTTGCCAATGAACGAAATGCCAATAACTCCAAGAATCCAATGTCCCAATTCACAACAGAGAATCCAAAAGATAGAAGCATCCTTCCTTTATGATCTCTGAAAATACCTCCAATCCCCACTTCATTAGAACTAAGCAAAGATGCATCTATGTTCACCTTAATCCATCCGGGTGGAGGGGGATGCCAAGAAGTAGAAGTTAGCATATAATGTGGGTTAGCACCCCAGTGGTCTGAATATAGATTACCTCTTGATTATATAGATGCATAGGTAATAGCATTAGTAACAATCAACCCAGCTCCAAGCTCCTGGCCTTCATGAACAAGATTGTTTCTACTCTTCCATGAATGATAAACCAAAGCACAATAAGTTTTTGTACTAAAAGGATCCACCTTCCCTTGCTTCCTCAAAAACTTTAAGCATTCTTCTAAACTATTAAAAACAGGTAAGGAAAACCCCAACCGATTAGCCATTTGAATTACCTGAATTAGTTTAGAACACTTGACAGCCACATGCTCCACATCTTCCTTCATATCACAACCTCTTGGACAAAGGTTGTTATCTAACAATCTCCTATGCATTAAGAAATCCATCGTAGGAATCACATTCTTCATAAGCTTCCACCAGAAATATGATACCCGAGGATTGAGCTTCAGGTTTTTAATGCATTTCCAATCTTGTATCACCGCATATTCATCTTCTTCCCATTTTACATTGTTGTATTTTGCCATAGCAGAAATTGTTCTTCCAGAAAAGCTTCTCAACAGCTCCAGTTCATCTTTAGGAATATCCATTCCAACCTTTGTTTTACAGATCACCTTCACCAGTTCTTACCCGAAAAACTCATGCAATTTTTCTGGAATCCAACCTCCATCCGAAATAAAACTTGACATATTTGGCTAATTTTCATCCCCCATTGCTATGAAAGTAGGCCATCTATCCAGGAATTTATCTAGGACCCAAATGTCCTTCAAAATATCCATCGATACCCCATCTATGATATTCCACCTCACTATTTGCCTTAAAGGCTTATCTCCACTCAGTATCAATTTCCATGTTGGAGAATAATTCATCCTTCCTTCATCATACCAAACACTTCTACCATATTTCGCTGTTAAGGATTTACTAAGCATAGAATTTGGCTTCTTCAAAAAATTCCAAACCAGCTTAGCTCTTAAAGGTTCGATCATATCCACAGTTGAATGTATACCAAGTCCTCCTTGGCTCTCTGGTTTGCATATATCCTTCCATGCCACAAAATGTAGTCCTTTGTTCCCATTACTTTTGTTCCATAGAAACTCCCTACAAATCTTGTCAAGCTTCTTCAAGATACTCAAAAGAACCAGAGAAATGGACGAGTAGAATACATGAATAGCTTGCAACACTGATTTGATAAGAACCACCCTGCCAGCCGAAGAGATTAATTTCTTCCCCCCAATGTCCAATTTAAAGGTTGCTTTCTCTAATAACTTAGAGAAGTCTGCTGCTACAAGCCTCCTTAAAGCAATTTTAATGCCCAAATAATTGAACTGACCTCCATGAACCCCATAAGTTTAGAGATATCCCTCCTCCTTCTACTTTCCATAATCTTACTATAAATGATAGAAGATTTTGAGATATTTACTTGCTGACCCGTCCATCTACAATATTCCATTGTGATTTTCTTGATCCTCCTCAAATTTCCCATTTTAGCGTTAGAGAAAATCAATATGTCATCTGCAAACAACAGATGAGAAATCCTGGGAGCCAAAGGGGCTACTTTCAAACCCAAGTTCCTTCCCTTAGGTAAGAAGGCATTAGTAAGAAGTTGGGAGCATAGAATGAATAAGTAAGGCGACAATGGACAACCCTATCTAAAACCACTCCTTCCTCTAATTCTTTCCAAACCAACACCATTAATTTGCACCAATAAGATAGGGCCAGTAACACATTCCATTACAAGATTGGAAAACCTATCTAGAAAACCAAAATATCTCAAAACTTGCCAAAGGGTATTCCAGGCCATACTATCGTATGCCTGTTCCATATCCACTTTGATTTCTACCAATCCTCTTTTAGATTTTGAGAATCTGAATTTATGAAAAAGTTCTTGTGCAAGAAGCACATGCTCTAATAAAGCCCTCCCTTTTATGAATTCCACTTGTTCCTCAGATATTAAACAGTGTATGACTTTCATCATTCTATTTAACAGCACTTTTGCCATAATTTTGTAAATTGACATGCATAAGCTTATTGGCTGAAAATTTGAAGGAGATAAAGGATTACTTACTTTGGGGATAAGCACCACCAATGTCTCTTTCCATTTGGAAGACATTCTACCCGAACTGAAGCAAAGTTGAATAGCTTTCCACACATCCATCCCATTGATCTTCCAGTACGCTTTGATAAAAGAGTAGGTTATTCCATCCACCCCTGGTGAAATGTTGTTGCCAAGTTCTCTAATCACCTCTTCAACTTCTTCAATAGAAAAAATAGCATCAAGGATTTCACAGCTTTCACGTTTTAGGAGGTTCTCATTTACGGGCCAATTTTCCAATTGGCAGTTCCTGAGTTTCCATTTGCTACAAAAAAACTCATAAAAATTGTTCCTGATAATTTCAGGATCCTCTATCAGTTCCCCATCATCACTCTTTAATTGCCTAATTAAATTACCATTCCTTCTACCATTTGCAAAGGCATGAAAGAAACTAGAATTCGAATCCCCCCTTCCATCATCCATTTAGCTTTAGCCCTTTGTCTCCACCATGCATTTAACCATGCTAGAGTGCAGTTGAACTCATTGACTTTGGATCTAAGTAGCAGAGCATTGCTGACCGAAAACTGCTGTTCAAGAGCTTCTTCCAGCTAAAGTTTTTCAATTTCTTCCTTAAGTTTTTCCTTCAGTTCTTCCAGCTTTGATGCTTGGCCTTGCTCCAAAAAAAACAAGGATTTAAGAACCCTTGACAGTTTCTTATTTAATGCTTCCATATCACCTCCTCTCACTAGTTTAGCCCAAGATTGCTTGACCACCGAGGCTGTAGTTGAATAAGACAAACAAACATCTTCTTATTCCAAAATCTGGTTCTATGATTTTGCTTATTAAACATCTTCAAAATAATGGGACAATGGTCTGAAGCAATTCTACTCAAATGCCTCACTACCGCTTAATTAATCAGCTCCAAGGCTTTTGAGTTCAGAATACACCTATCCAGCCTCTCCTTGATTCGTGCACTGCCACTCTTATTGTTACACCATGTATACTTTGAACCAAGAATACCCACATCATGTAAATCATTTCTATCCATGAATGCCTTCATCTCCAATGGTCCAAGTGAGAAAGAAAAATTTTTTCCACCTTTTTTTTTCATCTTGAGGTAGTATACAGTTGAAGTCTCCTCCTACCACAGCGGGAACCTTTGACTTCAAATAACCATCCAAGGAATCCCATAATTCTCTTCTTCCATGCATCTCTTTACTACCATAAATAGTTGCTACCATACATATACCTTTATTAAACACCTTTAACTCACCAACCACACACTGGTTTGAGGCTTTCAACAAGGAAAATGATTCCAAATCACATTTCTAGATCACCAGAATCCCTCCATATTTTCCTCTAGATGGAAAAAGAAAGTACTCCCAAGCTTCACCCAAAAATTTGTCAAACTCTTCCTTAGAAAGCGAAGATATTTTAGCTTCAATGATCCCCACAAAAAATGCATCCCATTATTTAATATATTCCTTCAAATACAAGGAGGCCTCCTTATTAACCCCCCTACAATTCCAAAAACTTATAGAACTCATTTTGATAAGAATGGGGAAAGGTCCCCACCCCTTCTCTTGTTCATATTAATTTTACCTTGCCTAGAAGCCACATTCAACGGGCCAAGGTATCTCAGCTCCTTTGCCAACTTGGTTTTTTGAATAGAAGACTTATCATTGTTCAGATAAGTCTTCTCCCCACCTTGAATTTCCATACCTTTCTCATTTCTACGCATAGTTGCTTCAACATTACTATTAGTTTGACAATTTTCCAAAATCTCCACCAGTTCTCCTTCTTCCACAGCCTCTTCCTTGGAATCATCCTAAATTTCCAATCCAATGTTTTTCTCACATATGGAGTTAAGTAATTCAAATTTATTACCAGACATAAATAAGACCTCCTGGGCTGAATCAATCTCCAGATTTCCCTTAGGTTCTCTGAATTTTGACATACCTCTAGCTGGATTTCTGTCATCTACAACATCTTCAATAGAATTCACAGCATCATCAACAATACTCCAAACTTCAGCAGGATTGCTAGCACCCTCTTGCATTTTTTATTTGGCTTTCTTCAAATTATCATCTCCTTGAGTACCCAAGACCCTATCTCTGTCTTCCCGGCTCATCACATTACTTCCCTTATACATCTCATTAATTACTTTATCCCCATTAGTAGATTTCAGTGAGCCTCCATCCTTAGGAATATATATCATTCTAGACATTCCCAAGTTACTTATTTTATATCTTTTGTTATTAAATAATATCCAGGAATTCACAGCTGGGTCTTCCTTGGTACTAATGCCTTTCTCTATAACATCCTCTCCACATTGATCAGCTTTTGATGCTGACCCTACATTCTTTTTAACAATCTTGCAAGCTTCCTTCAAATGGCCAATCTAACCACACTTATAGCAAAAGTTGGAAATTTTCTCATATTCAACCTTTTGATAAAATTTGCCATTTATCCCTTCCACCAAAACACTAGTTGGCAATTGACGGTCAAGCTGGATACGGACACAAATCCTGGAAAATTCTCTCCTCCCCCATTGGAACATATCTCCATCTATCAAAATGGGTTCTCCAATAGAAGAAGCTATCCTTTATACATTAATTTTGTCCCAGCAGTAAAGTGGCAAACTTGGCATCTTAATCCAGATTAGAGAAGACAACCCTTTGAGTGAGTTGGGATTAAAATAAAAATTCTACTTATACAACCCAATTATATGCCCATTGACAAACCATGGACCTCCCGATTAAACATTCTCCATGGAATCTTTAGAGAAGAAAGAGCATAATACCCAATCAGAACCAAGGCTCGTCAGATGAAATTTTCCAAACATCGTCCACTGACGTCTGAGCTCAGCCGCTATCAGCTAAATTGGGATGCGACTCCCAAACACATTTACAATAATGGAACCTAGTAGCTTCTCAGAATTAGCTTTAACATTGGGATCAAATAGCTTGACTACTGATCCATCTTCCGTCATAAATGATTCATAGGCCGGGAGCTTAACTTTTATATACAAACATTTTATCCATTGATTTATTGGTTCCTGCCCTGATGCCTATACACTGGCATTACCTTCAAATATTAGTTTTGACTACTTTTCTCTCTATACAGACTTTTCACAAACATTTGACTTGCAACCTTGAGATTTATCAAATAATTGAACTGCCCTTGTTACAGATATCAGTTTCAAACTAGCAAACCTGCTAACAATCAATTTTCTGTCTGAAGAAGATGATATGACCTTTTGAATGGTCTAAGGAGAGATTGTTTCATCTTCAACCATAACTTCTTTACCTTTCCCCAACACAGGAGACACAACTGGTGCCTTTTCTAAATTAGGATCTCGGATAACCAGAGCCATATTGCAGATTCTTGAAGCATTCCCAAAATTTGCTTTACTCAACACCATTGATACTATTCCCTTCCACGGAGGAACATTCTAGTCATCGGAGATGGCCGGAGGATGATCCTCCATCACTGGCATGAAACCCGCCAATGAGCCGCTACACAGGAAATTTGAAAAATCTTCTCTGAAAATTGGGA